ATGGTCTTAGCCTGGAATGTGAAATATGTCTTAAAGATGGGGGACAGTAATCTGCCTTATCCACTAGTCAGTGATATATCCAATTTAATTTTCTACCAAGTATAAGTTACATTTTAAAAAAGCACACACAAAAATCATTACGGTTTATCTTTCATATTCTTCCCTTCTGGGGGTGCATTTAACTAATGAAAATTATATTCTAAAGAACAGAAACCACCTTCATTCCCCTTCCATTCGCGCAAAAATAGAACCAGATTCGGAAGCAACCTGGAAGGATATCTGAAGAATATACTTCACTTACAACTCTTATCCATATTGAATCAAGTTTCATAACTTGAGAGGCCAGACACGCCTCTAATGAATACCAAGACATTCAGAGTTGTTAAAAATAATAATAAAGACACTGCTAGACTCCTCCTTTCACTCTCCAAGCTAGTAAGACTAAATGCCTCAAGAACTCAAGTTTTGGGTTGTTGGGTCGCCCCCTCCCACTCTGTAAAGATGTCCAAGATAAAAAAAAAAAAAAAAAATCAGCTTGAATTGACTTCTGCCTTCCTATTATTTTTCTATTCAACTTCTAAACTCTATACAGTACTCCAAGTCTCTCGGCTTACAAATGATTGTCAACCAAGTAAAGTGGTTAAGCTAGCAATTTCATCAAGCCAGAGCTTGTTTCTGGACATTTCATGAAGGTAAAAGTATACCAACTCCTCACTGGAGCATTTCTGAAAATATAAAAAATTCTATATAAATCTAAAACTTTACATATAATATGAATTTGCTTAATGAAAGTAACTGCCAACCCTTATTACTTCAGAGAGGTGAGAAAGCTATATAGACTCAGGCATTTCCAAACTGTTCCCTGATTTCAATGTAATCCCACTGGCTTTCACTATATATTCATTCAGTTTGTATGTTCTCAAAGTACCATAAGACTTCTACAGCTCATTTCTTCCTGCAAAACAAAAAGTCATTTACTTTAGTATAATTCACTTTAGACTTGAATAAACATGTGTAAGATGTTACTTTTACACAGATCCTTTAACACAAGGTGGTTCTAATTTTTTTACTATAATTAACAAAATAATATAGTTACACGAAGTACTCTTAGGTTAGCTTTTCGGCCTAAAAACAGACATCTACACCACTTTCAGAACCTCACATTCTCTTTACAGCCGAAACCACAGCATCATTTAATAAAGAAACTGTGATGAAAGTGCAAAATGCCTCAGAATTTTTCTTGCACTGGACTAGTCAGCAAGACCACAAAATACTGTTCTTGAAAGGCAGATACATTCACTGGTCAGGAAAAACATTCTTTGTTGTCTGGGGTGAATAGCCAGTCTCATTCAGGTCTTCACACCTGAGTGACCAGGTTCCCCAAGAGCTTTGAGCTCAAAGCTCTCAAAGCTTATGCTTTGCTTCCGTGCTTTTTCAACAGTTCCTGAAAATTACTGAAAAAAAATACTTCTTTTCCTGTTTCTGCATCCAAGAAGATGGGACCTTTGACATAGCTCTTTCTGTTTTTAATTAAGCACTTCAGCAACTTTTTGTAAGATATGTTGCACAAGTGACAGTAACCAGACAAAAATTATTCCACAGTCAAGTTTTGTTTCTCTTTATTATGTTCTACAGATATTCTGTAGTTTTCTTGAGAAATGCATATTTGTACAGATGTATTTTAATTGCATGTTGTCCTGGTTTCAGCTGAGAGGGTTAATTTTCTTCATAGTAGCTAGTATGGAGCTATGTTTTGGATTTGTGCTGGAAACAGTGTTGATAATATAGAGATGGTTTTGTTACATAGACATGGTTTTGTTGTTGTTGAGCAGTGCGTACACAGAGTGAAGGCCTTTTCTGCTTCTTGCACTGCCCTGCAAGCAGGATGGCTGGGGGTGCACAAGAAGTTGGGAGGGGACACAAACAGGACAGCTGACTCAAATTGACCAAAGGGATATCCCATATCATAAGACATCATGCTCAGTTTATAAGGAGGCTTGGAGAAGAAGAAGAGGAGGGGCGATGGCATTCGGAGTGAAGGTGTTTGTCTTCCCAAGTAACCGTTATGCGTGACAGAGCCCTGCTTTCCTGGAGATGGCTGAACACCTGCCTGCCCATGGGAAGTGGTGAATGAATTCCTTGTTTTGCTTTGCTTGTGCACGTGGCTTTTGCTTTACTTATTAAACTGTCTATATGTCAGCCCACGAGTTTTCTCACTTTCACTCTTCCAATTCTGTCCCCCATCCCAATGGGGTGGGAGTGAGCAAGCGGCTGTGTGGTGCTCAGCTGCCGGCTTGGGGTAAAACCACGACACACGTAAACCAGCTAACTACAAGGCAGCTGGCAAAATGTACACAAAAATTTAATTCTAAAGAATATCCCATCAGCATCATAATTGCATTGGTTCATCAGGCTAGGAAACAAATTAATATTTCTGTATGTTCAGTGAAATGTAAGTTAAGTTTTCCTTCACAATATCAAAAGACTTCCGTATCTTTTCTGTTCCTCGAGCACCAGTGTGTTCTCCACCTGAAATACAGTCTGAAGAATAGGTTCCCATTTTTTTGTTGGTTGGGCAAATGCATAAAATACAGCCTTCCCAGTGGAAAAATAGAAGTTATTTAAGGAAACAGAAGTTATTTAAGAACAAAATTTTCTAGTTCAATTTATAAAAGAAGTGTCATTCCACCTCATGATTTCACTGAGAAGATCAAACCAGAACAGGATAGATCAAAACCAAATGCTTTAACACACAGCTCTGAGCCAGACATCCAAAAAATTCAAATACACTTCACAATTGAAAATGTTCAGTTACCAGCACTTATCTCAATGTTTGGAAAAGGAAATTATTGGTCAGGAAAAAAAGTGGTATGTTGAAATAACTGTAATTTTGCAAATATTCAGTGCTCTGCAAAAGGTTCAATGAAAATAACATTTATTTAGAAAGCCTCACTTGTTCTTCCCTGAAAGAATTTGAAAGTTGTTTTGGTTTTGGGTTTGTTTTTTTTTAAACATTTAATTCCACTACCACAGCAACTCTACAACTTTCTTTGAACTCCAGCTGCCATGGATTTCATACAACAGTCTTTCTCCCTTTAATAAGTACACACCATGGCACAAGCTACAGTACAATGCAAAACAGTCCTCTTCCACTCTGATTTCTCCAACATGTTTTAAAACGTATTCCCAAGTAAAGGAAAAGGTAAGGCAACCACTAGAGAAATCTGAGCTACTAGAAAGCTCAGTCCTCCAGTCACCTTGCAGAAATAGCTGCTAATCTAGCCCAATATTTTCAAAGTATAGAATCTTCAAGCCAATACACAGCCACTCAAGAGGAAAATTATTCTACTCAGCAACATGCATTTTCTCCCCCACATCTATAACACAACATAGAAAAATTTCTCTACTTAAATACCAAAAGAAGAGCTCTAAACAAAACCACATCGAATGGATGCAGGTGCTATGTGAGGATTTAACTTCTGATCAATACACATACTAGCTGAAAAGGCTCTGAAAAATTAGCTCTAAATACCCAGAGAAACAATGTTTTCTTCCTATATTCCAAGCATCTACAGAAACACCGTGGAAAGCATGCAACTTGTACTTTAAAAAGGAACAGCTACTAGGACATCAAATACTCTGCCATCTGACCAAGTCAAAACTGACTGTGCTCAGCCTAAGAGCTTCTTAGCTGTAGCATGCTTCTGCTTCAGCTGTTAAGAGAGAACTACAATTCTCTGGGTAAAGTGTAACGGTATGCATTTTGAAATTTGATTTTGAGTTTCTTCAACATTAGAAATAATATAAATAGCCAAAATTAAGCGCTCTCAATTGTTTCTGTATTTTATATATACAGGCTATCAATAGCCTCCAAAAGGAGTTCAGAGACTGCAAAATTGTCATGACAAGTTACCACATTAAAAATGCCGCTGTTCCAAAAAGCACCTGGCTCTGTATTTTACATTGTTACTCATTAGTTCCCACAACGTATCTTCAGTCTTCTCTTTTTTTGCCAAGACAGAAACCTTTGTCTTTACAGCAGCTGCACCTGACCAGGAACCAATCAATTGGATGCTCCCTGCCCACTCTCATCCAACACTGCACATCTATCTGCAACTACTGTTTTGGTAGAAATCACTACTGTTTTGGTATAATCCACACTGACAATTTTGTCTTAACTATTCCCCCTTCCCTGGACACCAGCAGAGAAAGATCAAAAGACACAAGTGATTTTACACATTTTCCTATCAATGACAAAAGAAAAAGGATGCTCCTTAAAGACTCTCCTAAAATATCACATATCCTGATTCTTCTCGCAATTAAAAAAAAAAAAAAAAATCTATCTTCTTGTTAAAAGGTTGAAAGTTAATGAACATGTTTTAGTGACCATATGAGAGCTTAAAATAACATCTAAAAAAGAAAAAGAAAAAGAATACCTCTGACCTCCAGCTTCTCGGTTTTTCAACAGTATAGACAGCGTATGCATGCTTCATGATACAGCACAGCAAGCTAAAACACAGCTACTTCTGTAACTTCAATAACTTCTACAAGACACTCAAAGCTTTCCAAAGCAAGCCATTACCAGTCCACATGACTTATTTGCCCCAACAATGGGTGCAGGCCATGCTGTCCTGATTTTAAGTAGTTATATAGTACTAATTATTTATCTACTGACAGCTTTATCATATCTTTAAGAATAAGAGTTTTATTTGTATGTATTCACTGGTGAAATATGTTTTATTCCATTTCATACTTCAAAGACAAAATTAACTTCCAAGCAGAACTAGTGTATGAATTTACAATACCTATTTCTTCCCCACATACAAACTGCCAAGTATGGCAACACAGTATCTTAATAAAAATGATACTAAAGGTAAGGTATATGATACAAACAAGGACAAATACAAATAGAACTACTACTAAGCTCTCATTATCACTCATAATCAATCACCCTGGGAGTTAGGTATTGCAACAGCAATGCCAAAATAAAATTAACTCACCTATACTAGGTGGACTGCCATAATTTACAGGGGACTCTGGAGGCCTCCCACAATGTAGTGCAGCAAGAGCAGATCCCTTCCACACAACATGTTTGCAACCTGTTTTAAAAGAATTACACAAAAATTGTAGGCAAGTGTTTTTTCATGCGAAAACACAGAAAGGCATGAAATACCAAGAAGTCTCAAAATTCACATAAAATTTTCATACTTTTGTTTGTACGAAGCAAAGACTGTCTGCCAGCTCCTAATAATGTCTGCACTCCAGGGACACTTTGGGGAATTTCTTGCTCTAGAAGCGGTCCAAGTCGATGGCATATTTGAAGCAAGTGATCAGGTGCCAAGTGTCTGTAATATTTCACCTATTACATGAAAGAGCAAATAAAACATTTAATAAAGAACATAATATTTTTGAAGAATTACTGGTTTAATTTTTTCCCCAGATTGTTATACAAATTCATACGAAAATTATAGTATATTATGGATAAAAACAAATAACAACCTTTAAGTACAATAACTCATCCCAGCTGGTCCTAATTAATTCTTCTATTCAGCACATGCCACTTTATACAGAGAACCATTGGTATTTACTACTTTCTGACTTTAAGGCACAGCTGGTCATAGACTAATAAACTCCTTTATAATCACAGTGAAAAATGTGAAGTATCTATTCAAGATTATATTTAAATAGTGGTCTGGTCAGTTTAAGTTACTGTAAGATAAAGACATGACAAAGATTGTAAGGACAGCAACATTTACAGAATTTTTGGAAGATTCACATACATCAAATAAATAACATAGCTTTGTAGAAGACAATGCAAAAATATTCTGCCTCAACTCACCACTTGAGTGTAACCATGTTGAACCAGTATTAATGACCACCCAGACAAAACCAGTTCGTTCTTTTGAACTACTATAATTCTAGATCAGAATGCCATGTTATGTAACAAGAAAAAAAATCTTTGAAATGTATGTGACAACAGTAAAATCCTATTAACATAAAGCTTTTGGTTAAGAAATAGAACTTTTAAAACACATAGGCTATTGTCAGCTGTAACAAAGAAAATTTAAAATAATAGAACTAAAAGGGAGAAGAGAAACTCAGTTTTCTTCAGTTCTTGTATAGGATTTGGTGTGTAGTAGTTTTATCCTTCATATAGCCTGAAATATGTCCTCACAGTTTTACTTTGCAGAAGAAAAAAAAAAGTACTGCAGTAAAAGCTTGTGGTATTTTGTTATTCTGCAACTACAAAAGACCATGACTGACATTTTAGGCAGACCGATGCTTCTGTATCACATCCAATTAACAGAACTATCCTCACTCTTTATCAAATGTGCTCCTATCTTGCTGACACACTGTAATTGCTTCATATATTCTAGCAGTTTGTTAACATAAAGAGTGCTGATGTCTGAAACCGAGGTTCTGGAAAAGCCTTGCTTACACCAGTAATTCTCACCACCACCAAGGCAACCTTCTAGAGAAGGAGGAAAAGTTTTCTCTTTTGCTCCTGTCATGGTTTAACCCCAGTCAGCAGCTCAGCCCCATGCAGCCAGCCACTCCCTCCCAGTGGGACAGGGGAGAAAATCAGAAGGGTAAAAGAACGGAAACTTGTGGCTTGAGATAAAGACAGTTTAATAGGTAAAGCAAAAGCCACATGGCAAGAAAAACAAAATAAGGAATTCATTCACTACTTCCCATCAGCAGGCAAATGTTTAGCCGTTCCCAGGAAAGCAGAGCTTTCCTTCTGTGAATTGTATTACATTTGTAGCAGGCCTTGCAAGCTGCCTGAATTTGACTGCCTACAAGTTAAATGACTTCCAAAATTCACACAAGTTAACAAAAGAAAAGCTTTTCTTCAAAAAAAAAAGTGTAATTTTTTTTACATATAAAGCTAACAGTTGATTGCACAGATCAGTTCATTCAAAGTACTAAGTTTAATGCCATCAGACAGGCACTCTCTTAGAAGAGTAGCAAAAAATAATCCACTGAATTCGGAACTTGCTATTCTGATTCATTTTTCTTACTGGTAACATGCAAATAAAACTTGCTTTTTTTTCCACTGAATGAAGGAATCACATTCAAAATACATGCTTGAGAGCCCTAAAATATCAGAATAGCCATAAGTAGAGACAAAGCCATGTACATCAACAGCCCTGATCCATTTCCTTAGCTTTTGTTCTCCTTTGCTGCTATCAAAAGGATAGCAAAACCTTAACAAATACTTAAATATTTAACAAATATCATTCTATCTGAAACTAGACTTCACATCTGCAGAATCTGAACTTCTCTCAAAGATTAGTAAGTAGCGATTTTTTTGTTTAACCACAAATATTAGACCTACATATGTAATACAGTTGCCATTTTATCCTGCTCAAGAACCTTCAGTTTTACACATGCTCACAAATGCACAAAATCTAAAGTAAATTAAGCAAATCGGCTCTGACACATTCCAAAACTACCGCCAGCTGACATCTTGAGTCATGCTTCTCATGATTTGTCATAAGCCATGTGTTCACTTTTTTATTTTAGCAGAAACTAGGTAGTCTCAATTCGTTGTGCAGTTTTTAAAGCAAATGTTTTGAAAAGGGGGGATCTATTTGTATTAATCTTGATCATACCTATTAAAGATCTTAATATGTAACTTACACCCACACTATAGTCTCTCGTCATTTAAATCCATTTGCGTGAAAACAGCTATTTATGCCACGTTACACAGTAGTTTTGTGGTGCTTCTGTACAGCATTTGTCCGATTAATCATTGTTCATTGCTAAACAGCATTCGCAACCAGCTCATTAACAAACTGATTCAACAATATTAAGTGAGTGTATGCTTAAAAAAAAAAAAAGTGACACTGGCCATCCAAACACTTGTCAGTTCCTTTATAAAACTGTTTCATGAAACATACAGTCAACATTTGGCTCTCATTTTCCTATGTAAAACTAAACCACACACAAGAAACTTTCAAAAATAAAGAAATAAGCTTCATTTCACTGTAAAATCTTCTAGGGAAAAACCCTCTTATTTCATTATAGGTTTTATTTGGACTTCTTTCCCTTTTTCTCCTTCTATGAAGGAAAAAATGGTGGAACTTAAATAATTAAAAATAGGCTACTAAGTAAGTTTTTTCCAGGTGAAGTACTTTCTTCTCCATCAGAAAAAAAAATAAATCTTCTTTTAACAATATTAATAGAATACTTCAGCTAAAAGGGACCTACAACGATCATCTAGTCCACCTGCCTGACCACTTCAGGGCTACGCAGAAGTTAGAGCACGTTATTAAGGACATTGCCCAAATGCCTCTGAAACACTGACAGGCTTGGGACATCGACCACCTCTCTAGGAAGCCTGGTCCAGTGCCAATTTGTATGCGTGACTATTAGCATTACAGCAGAAGTCACAAATGAAAAAGGTTTGTAACAGAAATTCACCTTAGTCCTGATTCCTCCTTTTTGAAAAAGGAGGGGGGAAAAAAAAAACAAACCCCCCCCCCACACAGAAAAAAAAAAAAAAAAGAGAACCACAATGTGGCAGCAACTACTCCAGAAAGTACAAGATAAAGAATTTTATTTAATACATTAAATGACAAAGAGTGGCTTGAAAGCTAAAATTATTTGGATCGTTCTACGGTGCAGCCTACCAAGAGACAATTCTTGCACTGACAAACTGTAAAAAGAAGCTAGAACCAACGTAAAATATACCTACCACTCTGTGTCCTCCTCTTAAACAGTAACAAAAAAAGCCTGTAAAGAGTACTTTCAAATCAGATTCAAGTGACAACAAAAAAAAATAAATTATTTTTTAAAAGGACACTTTAAAAGCTTTGTCAAACAGAAAAGCTCATGACAACTCAATAGAATGACAGAAATTTGTCTTGATATCAATCTCTGACTCCAGGACGAGAAAGTAAAAGCGAAAGGAAAGAAATAACAGATGTACAAGTATTTAAAATTCATACAGCTCTAAATGAAAAGTGAAAACTGGACTCTGCAAACAGGAATTTTAAAATTTTATGCCATAACTTTGATGTCAAACAGAATATAAACAGCAGAGATTTCTTCCCTGCCAGTCCCACCCCTAGCTGAAATTTTAGCTGGTTTCTTTCCTCCTCCTATTAGGCTTTCTGCAACATCTAATTCTGCTCTTTTCTTCCAACAGAACATAAGCTTTTATAAGTATAATAATGAACTCTCTTTTTGTTCGACTAGACTTTTCACATAAGACAAGCTACTAACATTTCTTAAACATTACTGTAATAAAAAATCAGAACTCCGTTAGTAAGTACAAGATTTTCAGATCTTAAGCACAAGTAATATTTTCTAGAATATAAGCAGCAACATTACCCTCAACTTCACCCTTTACCTACGCCCAACTTTACCTATTCCAAACAGCATGGAAATACACAAAATGCAGTTACATGGCTATTTGGACTAACATTCAAACCTTTACTACCTCTGAAATGGACCTGAGTGTTTGTATTTTCATTCTGCATGACTCTGCAGAATAGTTCAGCATCAGAATCACAATGAGTGCATCAACAGAAGCACGATTTGACCTAGACTCTTTACTTAAATTTGTAATACATAATGCAGTTATTCGCTGCCAGTGTTTTCGGTATCAAGTAAAATATGACCCTATTCTGGATTCTGCTCCAAGCACTATACTGAGGCGTTCTCCAAAGTATTATTGTTGGATTTTTTTCCCTCTCCATGCTAAGAGTTAACATGCTTAACTACAAGTTTGACTGTAAATATCTTTCAGAAAAACACATTTGCACACAAGGACATTTGAGAACAAAATCTAAGTCAGTCAGCTATCTGTATTTCAAGATGTGAGAGCTCAATCTTACTAATACCAGCAGCTCTCCCAGCTTTAACTATTCTGCTATGTAACACATTACCCAAAACAAGCTCCAAATTGAATTATAGTAATTGTTGTACTGTATCAGACCATCAATCTAATTGAGTACCCTGTACCATCAGCCACTGCCTTTATCACTTCAAAGAAAAGTAATTACACTTTACTACAATTTCTAATTTTAAAGTGCTTTTTTTTTTTTTTTTGGGGGGGGGCGAATAGGTCAAGGGGGTGACAGACAACTGGGAGGGTAGAATTGGAGAATTAACTGTTTTTTGCTGAAGCATGTTTATTTCTTGTGTACCTTCTAATTGTGCTTGAGTTAGAAGTATACAGATACTTAGCCACTATTTCCTATAGGAATGCCTATTATTTTAATCAAGATTACTTTTTCTCTAATGAAATAGACCTATATGAAACCAGCTATCCCAAAAACATACTAGTTTTTCAACTATTTAATGCTTTTAATAGGTGTGAGGCCAGAGCACACAAAAACCTCAAACCTT